GTCAGTTATTATTAGAAAGTCTTAAGTAGTAAGCTATAGCAAGGTTAGTTTAGTAGTAACAAGCCAGTATAATGTTGTAAATGTACAATATGAGGAAGTTCTGACGTTAACAGTGCTGCATGTATATTTGAGACACTGATGTAAATGCAGTCAAGGAGTTTTATTAGTCACAATCAACCACAGCAGGTACAACAACAGAGACATGTTACACTGACTAGGCTAACTCGTGCAGCCTATATGGTTGCATGAATGAAATGTGTATGACATTGTGTGAGTAAGTGTGTGTGTGTGTGTGTGTGTGAGTGGGGGGTCGGTGTATGTCCCTTGCAGGTCATAGAAATAATATTGAGGTGAATGCGCTGCTGTGAAGAGTGAGTCATAAAACAAATATGCCCTCAGCCCACAGCCTCAGCACACTGATGCGTCCTGCTCTTACAGAGGCACTGACACAGCAGTGTGCCAGTGGAAACAGCACAGTGTGCACCAGAACAACCAAATGACCTCTAAAGACATTACCTCTGCTGGCGTGGGACATTATCGCTCTGCTGCCTGAAATGAGCCTCAGATTAATCTAAACTAAAGCAGCCCAAGGATGGGGGATGGCTGGGATCATGTTGTTGTTTTTTTTTTTTTTCCTGCTAATGCATTATTATTACACGAGCTGCAAATACGCACACCCACGCACGCACACTCACATCCACAGGCCCACCTGCAAATGGCAATAGTCGTCCATTGAATGCGACATGTTCACACTTCAATGTGATTTTTTTTTTTTTGTATCCATTCATAACGTCCCACCTCTCAATATAGAATTGAAAATCGAAACGCAAACGTAGACTGATATAAAAACGACTCCTGTGCGCTATTAAAAAGCAGAAAGAGAAGTAGCATAGAGGGAGGGGGCTGCAGCGAATCAGCGCAGCAGACACTGCAGAGCGCAGGCTGTCACCTCCTCTCCTCCTCCTCTCCTCCTCCTCTCCGTCCTGTCGAGCTGTCAGTTCACAGCAAGCACACATGAACCTCAATGCCGCAGACGGAGCTGACCACCCGCCGAGCACACCTCTAGATAACGGCACCTGGGCGTTTTAACTCACACGGGCCAAGGAAGTGACATGAGGCCCCTGTCCTCTCCGCGGACCGACCACAGACGCGTAGGAGGAGGGCTGAGCCGCTCGCTGGTTCGGAGCTAACGCCAACAGTTAGCTCGCAGGCTAGCGGTCGCTCTCTGTCAAACGGAGTCCGGGCTAGCACCGCGCCGCCCGTTGGTGAACGTTACACAGCGAAGGTCGGAGGGACCAACGGCTGCTCGGCGGGCGTTTGGACAGCCGCTCAGCGCCGTTCATGTGTCTCTGTAACCGTGTGTTTTAAGGGCTGCGCGTTGTTCCTGTTTTAAACCTTTATTTTATTTTATTTTTTAAATTAATTTTACGGGTTTTATCGTTTGTGTCTTCTAGCTAGCGGGCGAGCTACTCGGCTATGCTAACGCCAGCTCAGTGAGAGCTCCGGACTAGTCGAGGGAGGAAGGAAGAGAAGTGACTTATGATGTGGGCTGAGGGAAGCAGCGGGCTGGTAGGCGAAGGACAGCAGCAGTATTAGCTTTTTTTTTTTAATTTAAAAAAAAAAAACACATCGCATTTTGTCACATTAGTCCTTGTCGAGGTGGGGCCGCAGCGTCAGCCGAGCAGTGTGGGACGTCGGATGAGGAATGAGATTTGGGGCACTTTGATTTGCGAGCTGGATAAATGATCAGTATCGGTATTGCCGAGTCGTGAGCTGGTGGCCACAGAGACACATTATCTGCACAGACTGCAACAACCAAGCTTAACTTAAAAGATGGCTTCGGCGAGCAGCATTGCCGCATCTATTGCGAGCAAAACGAAGACCAAGAAAAAACACTTCGTCGCTCAGAAAGTGAAGCTCTTCCGTGCCAGCGACCCTCTGCTCAGCGTGGTTATGTGGGGAGTCAACCACTCGGTGAGTCCGACCCTCGACTGCCTGTACGACCCTCCACACTGTGTCTCCCTCGACCCTTTGATGTGCCACGTTAAGCCTTTATTCGCTGTCAGCTCTCCTCCTTTGTGTGTCTGCAGCTGATGGACAAACGCGAGATGACAGCTGCTGTCAGTGTGAATGTGTGACTGGCTGCACATTATGGACTACATTATTACCCTTGTGTTTGCTTTAGTAAAGCTGTGTACAGTTACATTTCACATGGATGGATGTGTGTGTGTGTGCACGGTTTTCTGTGTGAGCAGTGAAATGCTCTCTGTGTGTGTGTGTGTGACTCTTCTTTGGCTTCCTGTTGTGCACATGTAGGATAAGCTCCTAGGGCCTGTGTCATGAGAGATCTTCCCATGCAAGACAGCTTATCTCTGCTCTCCTTTCTCTTCCTTTGCTGAATATTTGCACTGGGCCAACACTCGTGTGTTTGTGAGAGAGAGCAAACTCGACGAGCAGAGCACATACAGATATTTCTGTCACCAAATCCCAATATCAAACATTTTACTAATGTTTCACAC